CCAACTATAATCGCCGTATTATTGTCCAAAAGCGCGAATTAAAATGTACGTTTGTCGCGGATGTTCGAAAAACTGTGAAAAAGTTCGCCCAGAATAAAGTCCTGGGTCCGGTTCGTGTCCAAGACGATCGATCGGACGGTGTGCGAGTTGCATCGCGAGCCCCTTTGATACGCGCGTCGATACGCGCTGACACGCTGCGAGGAGAGGGGAAAAAAGCGTGAAAAGCGACGGGATCGCACGTGACCATTGACTTTAAAGACCTTGAGAGGCGTGCATGGCAAAAAAGAGCATTCCTTTGCTGCCACCGCCAGCGACGCGAGGGCTGCCGGCGTAATGGTTGACGCCCTTTCTCGCTGGAAGTAGGCGAGGGAGGACACAGAGGGAGACTGGAAACACCTGTCGTTATAAATTACCGCGATGTGTTACGTGCAACGTCGGGGGCGTCGCGTCTACCTTTCTCGCCCCGCGAGCATTTCATACCTTTCCGCCCGGCGTTCCGCAGTCCTCCCCTGTTTCTCATCAAGAGATGTAACTCTGCGTAATCCAAACTAATTCTGCATGCAACAAAAGGCACCCGTTAAGATCATAAATAGTCGCATAATAGGAAAGAAAACATCTCCGACGGTGTCGGGGGACAGCCGAGTTAACCGACCGAGTTAACGTGTCAAAACTAGATCAAGTAGTCGAGGTAGCGACATAGCCGCACGCAAAGTCCGTCATCTATCCATCCCCTTGTCATTAGAGGTACACAAGCGAGAGCTGGGGGCACGAATCTCGGCACGCGGCAATCCCCGTTTCCTCGCGCAATGGAGCGAGGAATTATTTTCGGTCGGGGGTGGCAGAGAAATAGAGGAGGAAGAATAGGAGAATAAAAGACAGAAGAAGAGAGAGAAGGGGTGGAGAGGATGTGGAGGATGGGTGTCGTTACGAGCCGAGAAAATCTCCAGTGTTATCTCGACCAGGAGGGAGGGAAGTGTCCCTCGGCGCGGCAACGAAATTTCTGAATACGTCACTGGTGTCAACCCCCGCGCGGTAGGCAGAGGGTCGTCGTGCCGTACCCTCCTCGGTCGGTCTATCTGTCTGTCTGCATGCTGCTGCCTGCCTGTCTACTGTCATCCGTATGCGTGTCGTGTGTGTGTGTGTGTGTGTGTGTGTGTGTGCCGGCGTGCGTCGCGTGTGTGCGGACTGCACGGTGCGGTGTGTGCGCACGTGTGTGTGGCGGTGAGAGGAACGCGCGGAACGCTTTATGAATGGAATGTTTCCACGCCAAGTGTGGCGAGAGAGGCACCCGTGTGTCCCGCGTGTAAACACAATAATACCGACGTTTCCATTCATCAGGTCGACCCCGGGGCGCGGAGCGACCTCGAGAAATGCTTTGGAGGCGCCACGTGAACTCTGTGCATCGCCCTCAACCCCCCGCTTCCTCCCCCTCGCCTCTTCTCCGCCGCCCGTTTTACTTTGCGCCTTTTTTCTCTCGCGCCCGCGCCAACCCTCCGCGAGGAGAGAGGAGGCTATTTAAAGGGCGATTCGAATCTCGGCCGCAGCCGCCGGCCAAACCTGATTCATTTATCGCGCCGGTGGCCGTGTTCCCGTTGGCGACCTGGAGATCCGGAGGCTCTACGTCGAGTCGACGCATCCTGGTCGTTTTTCTTCGCGGAGAAAACTGCCCAGCTGCATCCACATATTCTATGATTAACGAGAGAATTTTGGAGACTTCAAATTATATAGATGTGGCATTAAAGATCTCACTGTTGTTGCACGCTCATTTATACAATTCTCACAGCCGTAGTTCTTATGATATTCAGTTAGTACATCCTCATACATACAGTTGTTCTAACCGAAAGAATATTGCTGTCTCTCTGTTGTGGTCTACAAAACAATTATTACAGTTGAAAGATTCGTAGGATTTGGATTACGCCATACATCACTGAGAGTACCACTCAAACACGTATGGACAGTCAGTCAACAAAAGTCAGTGTACCACTTTCAGAGCACTACGGTAACCATCTCGTATGTATGGGCGAAAAACATACATTGTTAACACACTTTGTTGCGGCAACCATATTTAGGCAAATGATATCTTTAGTGTCTTCTCTTTGTGTTGGAAAATTCTGCACCACCGAGAAATCGTGATCGCACACACACGTACACACACACACACACATACACACACGATATCGGGTTATCTCTCCTCATGTTTTTTTCCCGACGTCGGTGCATGTGAGAGAGAAATTACGCTCGTTGAGGACGCTCATCACGTTCCTCGTTTTTCTTCTCTCTCGAGTTCGTCGACATTCGATCGCGAAGCAACACGAGATTTGACAAAAGAGAACAGCATTAACTGACATTAGGCTGTCCTTTTTAGCTCAACTGTCTGAATTGGTGCACAAGTTAAAGCGAGACAAATATATTTTGTTTCACTCTCTAATTTATTGCATCAGTCTGTACTAGTTTCAGTAGTTTAATTAAAAAGAACAGACCTATTTGTGTCTCTGTTGAACGCGCCAAACATAAACGGAACAATGACGACGAATTGCGTGATCCACGACGAAATGAAGATGTCAGTCCTTAATTGGGCCAGAGAAGTGACATTTGTGTCTCTTACGGTTTGTGTTCGCCGGGCCGATCACGCGCCGGGAATTACACGATAAACGTGCGACCGCGAGATTAATGCGAGGTTAATGACAGCGAAGCGCTGCAACCCCCGCGATCAACGCGGTTGTGAAATAACAATCGCATGTTAAATGTACAATCAGTCGTTAAAGTACAATCGGCGCGACAAACGGCCAGCTAATCCTGTTTGCGTAAGACTACTAATGGCGGGCCTTCCATTCAACAGGTTTCGACTGACTGGCTCGCGGCGCGAATCGGCGCCTTTAGGACACGAGCACGTTTCAGAGGCGACTCGTGCAACGACACGTGTCCTCGGCCATTCGTCTTTCTTTCACCGTCTCCCGCGGTGCCAACGAGACGCTATTTAAAAGATGACTCGAGTGCAGGTCGCAGTTTGCGAGTCACGAACGGGAATGTCTCTTTATCGGTGCCGCGAAGTGACGAGAATAGCGACGGAAGTCGCGAAATTTTCAAGTACATTACAAGTGCGTTATCTCGCGAAACACGTCTCTTATCAGGTTAGAGACAAAGCGCAATTATCGCTCGTATCTGATTCAACGGACATCTGTCCGCGTCGGCGATATTTCTCGTGGGCTCGCTCATATTTCATTTTTATCGATTTGTTATTCGGAATAAGATGTCGAAGAGAAAGTAAGAGAGAGAGAGAGAGAGAGAGAGAGAGAGAGAGAGTGAGAGAGAAGGGGCACGTAGACAGGCTGCAATTACCCTAGAAGCTAGGGTGGAATAAAGGGCAATCTCGAGGGGCAGCGAATGCTACGCCACATACGCCGTCAATATTGAAATATTCACGTGTATGTCTTACGCGCATATTGTTTGGTCTCTCCTCTTTCTTGCCGCGCACATCAGTGCGGCTTTTATCTGAGAGACGTCTCCAGTAACGTAAACATGAAATTATATGTGTCGCGTATGTAATTCCGCGCCTCAGCCGCATCAAACATTTACGTCGCGGCCCTCGAGGAGGGAAATCGAGATCCTTTGCTGAAAGACTTCGAGAACTGTGAGCCGTAATTACAACAGTACACGACGTGAAAAATTAAATTCCTATGCGTGCCGAGGGTGTTTAAGTCGCAATCGCGCAGTTAGTTGTTGAATCAATCTCTCTTTCTCCCCGTCGCGTCGCTGCACCCAGATATTGATCGATCAAAAGAAAAGTGGCTTATATAATTATGAATCTATCACTGAAAATTATGAATTTATACACACACACACACACACACACACACACACACACACACACACACACACACACACACACACACACACACACACACACACACACACACACACACACACACACACACACAGCGCATCCGCGACGTAATTTTCGTCGCAGCATCGTCGCGCTTAACGCGTCAAGATGCATTGTCGACGAATACAGCGCGCGGGTGCGTCGACTCGGCGCAACGAACATTCATTTTGCAGCGCATCTACATTTCTTATGACTTCATACTTAATTCAGATCTTCGTAGACTTCCGGGAAGTATTACGAAGCTCCTCCGAGTACGCATGTCAAGCACGGGAGTGCGTGCTCTACTGTGCAAGAGCAGATATAAACGTAATGTTTGTACGCGGCGTGATATTACTTCGCGATCAAGAAGCGTACTTCGCGACAGAGAGGACACCGCTCTCTTCTCCGGGGCTACTCTTCGACACGATGGTAATATGAGAACCGGCGATGTTTACCGGCGATGAGACACGCGTCGACGACGACGACGGGGGTGGAGGGTGAGAAGTGGCAGTGAGCTCCGAGAGAGAGAGAGAAGGGAGATTAATTTAGGTTTAATTTTAATCAAGCACCCGCGACCCAATTTGTCTCTCTTTGAGGTGATTTTTTGCGCGCGAGAAACTTTCCGCAAGCCCTGTCGTCCTCTCCTCGCCGCTCTCGACCGACGTCGACGACGTCTCTCTGTCAATGTTGCGAGTTACGTTCCCCCGTGGGAAATCTGCCCACGGATGCGACGCGATCCAATACATTTTCTTTACACACTTTACTCTCGTAATTACGAGATAAACAAACACCTCGGATTACGGAGACTCTGCCTCGCCCCCTCCCTCTTCCTCTCCTGCCACGATTTCCGCGCGTCCCTCCGTCGGCTGTCGCCGGTTTCGATTTCGCGAATCGCGTACTCTCGCGACGCTGTCATGCCTGATCGTTCGTCTCCTCATTTTCACCGATAATACTTAGGCCTGTATCAACAACTGTCACCTAAAAATTGATCTGAGTATGTCATGTGAGATACTCAGCCGTTTACTCAGAATTAGATCCAATTTTCTCAGAAAAATAACAAATCTTTCATGGCAACCTAGTAAGTTTGTCCTCTCGCTCTGCATTTTCTCACGGTTTCTTCCTCGATGTGTGTTTGCAGATATTCCAAAAGCCGAACCGACGCAGGGGCAGACCATGGAAGTGCAAAAAGGGGACGGTCTGGTCCATAGTATGCGCCATGAATCTAGGCCTCTTTTCCGAGTCATCTTTAAAAGATGTCTCCTTCGTCAACTGCGGAGACGGTTTCGCGAAGAAGTCGTCATTTCACGAAGAAGCCGAGAAAATGGCCGCCGATGTCGAAGCGAGCGATCGCGAAGACGTCGAAGTGAAGCCCGCGAGCAACACCTCAGCCGTGTGGCCCTTCATGCAAACGGTGCGTACGGTAACTCTGAAGAAGGCCATCCGCAAGCGTAGTAAGCGCAGACGAAGATGGACGGTCAAACGGCAGAAGAGAGACACCCATCGTCGGATCAACGACGGCAAGGATCGCAAGTCCACGATGAAAAGACGAATCATCGTTGCCGCCACCATGGGCGCCGCCTCTACGTCACCGTTCGACCGGAAACTTCAGAACACCGATCGCCGTGATGCATCGGACGGACCATCTGCGGGCTTACCAGGATACAATTTCTCGTTTAGGCAACTTCACGCCCGACTACCTGGCGCCAGCAACGTGAACGAGGCTCGTGATTCTTTATCCGCGACGGCGTATCGAGCGACTGGTGAGAACGAAGCTCGCGGGAAACCAACGCGAGGAAACAGTAAGACAACCGAGACACCGGCCGATCACTCCGCATCGAGATACGTCGGACCACGCGACACAGGGAGGGCGAAGCGAGGTCGCGCGAGTCCCTCGAAACGCACCGATTACTACAAGAACGTGGCGCGTGTAAACGACGACATAGGGGACATATGGGAGGACACGACGTCGGATAGCGGCGAGAACGACAAGAACGACAAGAACGACGATGACGACGAGGACGACGAGGATGATAAGGACGATGAGGACGACGAAGACGACGAGGATGACGAAGACTACGAAGACGACGATGAGAACGATGAAGACTACAACGCGACGAGGATCACAAGACGCGTTCGTGCTAAGAAGACCGGTCTCGCGAACGGGAACCTTTCGAAGCGCAAAGCTGCAAACTTGCACGAGGAGAGAAGGTTTCCATCGCGAAAGAGAAATCTGCTGAGAAATTTCAAGGACCGTTCAGCAATCCTGAAGAACAGCAAGATCACGAAACGACAGCAAAAGCGTCGGCGTTTACACAATTCCGTGACGATTGACGATCACGACGCGCCAGTCCTCGCGCATCGCACTCGGGAGAGGCGCGCCGTGTCGACCCCGAAGGCCGACTTCGTGGAGAAGACGCGGAAACATTGCGACTGCAACAACCCACGACGTCGCTCTTACAACAACAGCGGCACACCGTGCTCATGCAAGGAGAATCTGAAGAACACCGCCATCGCGATTCTGAAGGATATCCGAGCGCAGATACGCAACACGGATAGCAATCAGGATACGGAGGATGCTGAGGTCGCCAAGGATGCGGGTGAGAATCACGACGAGCGCTTGGATCACGAAATTTCCATGAAGTACGAGTGGGAGGATGAAGACGCGCCTGATCACAATAATTCATCGCAAAACACGATTTCGCCGGCGAAATCGGTTCCAAAGGTGTACGTGAATCGGAAGACTCGCGGGAGAAGACGGTGGTACAAGGCGTCTATCGACTGCAAGTATATCGATCGAATAGAGACGACGTACCAGAGCGTTTTGCCGGAGCAAGTCGGTCCCGACGACTCCACACCGTCGTCGCTGAAGATAAAAATGGACGAGATGAATTGGGGCTCGGAAGACGGCGATATCAGCACGTTGATTGAGCCCCGCTCGTTCTCGAATGAAGAATCACGCGGTGACGAGGACGACGGTGCGCTCGACGTATCAACGATAGTGCCTGACCAGATGGTCATTCTCGACGATCAAGGAGACGGCGAGTCGCACCAAGAGCGAAACGCGCTGATGGCAAGCGCGTGCTATGTGTATCGCGAATCGTCGAATAACACCGACAAGGCTGCTGTCGATGGCGCGAAAGTTCTCGCACCACGTTTTCGCGCGAAATTCACGAATTCTCGCAGCCCTACCAAGGACGTGATCACGTATGGGAACCGGAAGAAAAGAGAGAGTAACGGAAAATCGTCGTCGACGGATCACAGCTTCGGCCAGGAGAAGAGTCAATATTTTGCCAAGGTAAACAATCTGCACTTTAGTGAATTCAACAGAACTGAGACAAAGAGAGAGAGACCAACTTTTTTATTGTTGTCGTTACTTTAGAAATAACGAGTTGTTACAATTTCCATACTTGATCATTATAGTCGTGTCGCGATTGAGAATGACGCGAGAGAGATGAGTTTAGAGTACACACTCTGTGTATGTGTGTGTATCGAGAATATATATAAAATTCGTAAAATATATAATTTATTTATTAATAATGTGGTAATTTAGGTACAAACGAAAAGCGTAGCTGACAGCAAGGACAACGATTCAGATTACGAGAATGAGAAGAAATACGTTCTACGAAGATCAACGAGATCTTCGATCAATCCCAGCAAAGAGAGCAACACGGGCAAGTTGATATGGGGAAACTGTTCAGGATGGTGGCCAGGTAAGTATGCCTCGACTCTTATTGGCATCAATTAGATTCAAAATATTCGAACACTCTTCTTTGTCCGTATTCTCTTCCCCTTTCTCTTCCGAGAAACGCACTTAAAGTCACAATGTGATGTTGTAGCGCTGATTGTCGAAGCTGACCAAGTAGGGATGGCAGCTGAACCCAACAAAATATGGGTTTACTGGATCGGAGAATCGCAAATATCATTGGTAAATCCCCGCATGGACCGAGATTGCTTCCCTTTCTCTCCTCCTCTGAAACGAACAATGAAACACATGACTGACGTGATTTCAGCTCAATGAGAAAACCCAGATAGAACCGTTTTCCAGGAAGCTGGAGGAACGATTGACGCAAAAATTTCGTAAAAATAATACGCGATCGCAAGCCATTGACGAAACAATAAAGGTTCTTTTAATAAACACTACGAAAATGTTACGCAAATATGAATTACACATAAGGAATTATCTTCGAAAAATGCGATGTGCCGTTACAATTATTTTAGATGCTACGCCAACGTTACGAGTGCACTCTGACTAAGCCCTATTATTATTGGATACGACGAAATATCAGATCGGAGGAACGTAAGTATCGTGAGATTCTTGTAACACCGTTACTATTGTTAATCTATCCGCAATGTAGGTGTCACGAAATAATCTGTGAAATTCTTTGTCCGCATACCTACGACACAACAGTGGACAACTTGTGTTTTTACCCGTATCCGACGAAAATGCAAGAAAGATTGGACGCTTTGAAGGCACAGAACGCCAAAGTTACCGAGCAGTATATATTGAAGCAGAGAAACGGTGAGTCTCTCTTTCTTTCTTTCTTTCCTGTACTTTTATCTGCTGTACTTTTATATTGCGACGTGTCTCCCTTTCTAATGGATAACATTCACACGATAATCATTCACAATAGGTTCACCGGAGCCGAAGAAACAAGAAAAGGTCGAAAAAACCAAAGATACAAAAGCCGTAAAACAAATTGAGGACGAGCGTTTACCATTGCGTGAACAAATGCCCGGTGTTATAACCTGGGCGAAGATCACCGGGCACAACTGGTGGCCAGGTATTATCCGAAAACATTTTTCTTCTTTTTTGAACGAAAATTTAGTCAGTCATTGTTCGCAAATATAAATTTAAAGTTCTTTTTCTCTTTTCAGCAATGATCGTCGATTATCGTGATAGCTGCTTGAAAGAACCAGGTTTTGGTTGTCAGTGGATTATGTGGTACGGCGATTATACAGTTTCGCAGGTAATAATTCTCAATCTAATATTGAAACTGGAAATTAGATTTCTTTCAAAGTATGCAAAAAATAAATTGCTTCGTTTTTTTTTTCTCTTAACGTGCTTATTGTTTCAGGTACATCACTTGGCATTTTTGAAATTTCACAAGGGAATCGAAAAGATGCGTGAATACATTGAGAATACGAAAAAGCATGTGTATCTTGTAGGCGTGTTGCAAGCTTCGAAGGTAAAAACTACTGCCTCACAATTTACATTGTTATTATAGATATTTCAATAAATCAAATAATTAATTATCTCCTTATAGTGAGAGATAAATAGATTTATTACTTTCAAAGGGTAATAAATAAGTTCATTAAGTTTATTTATTTGGACGTGATGAATATTCATTTCCAAAAATGTCTTGTAAAAAATTTTTTTCCACGATCTGAATATGACTTTTTAGGATTATTGTTCGCGTTTGGGATGCAACACGGATAACTGGAGTTTAGATAATGTCTTTAAGTATTTCTCGGATATGAATAATATACACATACCATATAACCATTTACAAGTTTCAGAATCTAACAAAGTATACGATAAGTATTCCAACGAGATAATTAAAAAGATCAATGAATTAAAATCCAATGCGAATGTAGATTCTAAACGCAAAGACGATATAAAAGAGAGTGGTATGTCCATTAAATTGTATACGACTTGCACGAATTACAAATGTTACTTGCACAGTCGATACTCCGTACGACATCTCAGATTCTTATCTTTCACACTTTTTTATTTTCAGATGCTTTACGTCGCGCAACACTGGAGCAATCTAAACTGGAAAAATTATGTTTGAAATGTTTGAAATTTCCTAAGAATGCAATGGAGGACCATCCATTTTTTGAAGGATCTCTATGCAAAGAATGTTCGGTAAATAAAAGAAAAAGAAAGAGACGACAAATTCTTTATTTATTCTCGAGACTGATCACAAAGAGAAAACAAACTATTGATGTAGAGCACAACAAAACATATATAGTATTTTTCTGCGATGATTACAGCTAAATGTTTCGCAAATTGTTTTGTTTCAGAACCTTTTTAAACCTTGTATGTTCGTGTTCGGGAACGACGATAAGTGTGTAAGTATCTAACAATTCAAGTGACACTCGTGAATCATAACGGTGTCTACATTTTGACGAATTTCTACATTTCTGATTTAAGTTTTATTGTACAGTCTGCGCCGCGACCGGGACTGTGGTTATCTGCGACCGAGAGGATTGTCCACGGTTAGTAATTCGTTTATGATGCCTAACGACGAATCCATCTTGTCTCCTTCAACTATGTAATCGTGCGATTCGTTTTTCAGAGTCTATTGCACTGCCTGCCTGAAGTATCTCTTGTGTCCGAAAGTGTACGACGAGATGTTGTTGGAGGATCCATGGGAATGCTTTCTGTGCAGAGACAAGTCTACATTGCCTGTAGGACTGTTGCGTCCGCGACCTGATTGGAAAGAGAGGTTCTTAGGGATGTTCCGTACGACTTCTGATATTGTACCTAATAAAATAGATATTGTAAATAATGATGAGAAGAAAGGCATACGTGTGCTGTCACTTTTCGATGGCTTGAGCACTGGTAAGCATTTACCTATATCCAATGTACATTGTTATAGTATCATTATTACGCGATAAGCGCAGTAACACACTTACAAAACATATTCTTAAAGATACATGTATTTATGCGTGTACAAAAATATATTTGGAAAATATTACAGTCCTGCATCTATATGTGATAATATTTGACAGGTCTGGTAGTGCTCCTGAAACTGGGGATCACTGTGGACGTTTATTACGCGAGCGAAATCGATCAGGACGCTCTAACGATCAGTTCCGCCCACTTCGGTGATCGTATTACTTACTTAGGCGACGTGCGAGGCGTGACGAAAGAGAAGGTCAAAGAGATCATGCCGATCGACCTGTTGATCGGCGGTTCGCCGTGCAACGACCTCAGTTTAGTCAATCCGGCGCGACTGGGTCTCCACAGTAAGTGTCGATGATCAACTTGTGAAAAAAACCGTAAAAAAAATACCTGAACGGAATAATTTTCCTCTTCTCTCGTGATCTCGCAGATCCCAAAGGGACGGGCATACTATTTTTCGAGTATATCCGGATCTTGAAGCAATTAAAAAAGAGCAACAAGGGTCGCCATCTATTCTGGCTGTACGAGAACGTCGCCTCCATGCCGAGCGAGTACAGATTAGAAATGAACAAGTGAGCCGTCGCGCCTCCTACTTAATCACGATTATCATTGGCATGACCTGTCGTGATCACGCGAAATTAACTTGTTGCATTGATTTCAGACACTTGGGGCAGGAGCCAATGGTGGTGGACTCGGCCGATTTCTCGCCCCAGCACAGGCTGAGACTCTACTGGCACAATCTCCCCGACGACCCGTACTTCCCCCAGTTTCAGAAACAGCAGGATGTCCAGGATATACTCACACCAAACTGCAACCGTTACGCTCTAGTGAAGAAGATTCGCACGGTCACGACTAGAACAAATTCTTTGAGACAAGGTATGTTTCCTTTTTTTGTCTTTCCTTTCTTCGATCGAGCCGAAAGATTTCATCGGGGAAAGGACTCCACGAACGTTTTCATCTCCGTTTCAGGCAAAGCGGAACTGAAACCGATCATGATGAAAGGCACCAGCGACACGCTATGGATTACTGAACTCGAGGAGATCTTTGGTTTTCCTCGGCACTACACGGACGTAAAGAACTTATCAGCCACAAGTCGACAGAGATTGATCGGCAAATCTTGGAGTGTGCAAACACTCACCGCTATATTGCGGCCCCTATGTTCCTTCTTTAAGTGCAATGAAGACGAAAACGGCCAATCCAGCTCGCAATGAGAGAATCATAGAATGTGATATTCCCTATCCTGTTGCGACGTAGTACAATTTTTTAATAATTTGTAAACTTACAATTCAATTTTGGAACAAATAATTTTGTTTTGTACCATTCTTAAGAAAAACTTATGTGACTACACAAAGAATCGCCTTTTATTTCTCAAATAGTATTTCAATATTTGGCGATTCTTCCTTGGTCTGCGCATAATTATGCGTAAAAATATCTATACTTTTGTATAATTAACAAATTTGTATAATTAATTTTGTACGCGATCAAATCGTAAATCGTTTGGTTGTACATTGTTGAGCTGCGTGGTGCACTCATACTAGCGAGGAGACGCACAATCTATTGCAATTCTTCCGATTTTTCGCGAAATAAAACAATTCAGCTATGATATAAATTCCACGAGCTAGAAATACAATGCTCAAGTGTCACAGAGTGTCGCTGAGTATAAGTGCACCGAATATCAATACAACCAATCATACACCAGATGTTATATATGTCTTAACATTTATTTATTTACTATAATCTTTACTATAATATATCAGTATGATTTATTATGATTATAATCATTATGCATAGTTTATTAAAAAATAAAAATAATGTCGAGTTCTCTTTTTATAATTGTTTTATAATCGTTTTCTATAATTTTGAAACCAAGTTTTATCTATATATATATATATATATATATACGAGGTTGAAAACGACAAAAATGAAATAATTATGATGTTACGACATATATGACATCTGTGATAAATATCGTTAAGTATGACCATTCTTAGGCCATATTCTGGACACATAGTCAAATATATGCTTCCTCATTCTGTAGTTAACATGTATTTAAACATGTTGCATAGTCAAATATATTCTTCCTCATTCTGTAGTTGACATGTATGTATGACACTCATAAAAATAAAATTAAACTTACAATTAAACTTAAATAATAAACTTAAAGCTTCCACGCAAGAAAATGTCTATCGCTTTAAATTGCGTCAATTGCTGACATTGAATTGAAGTCTGTATATAACAGCAGACTTAGAATGTCTAAGTATAAGAATGTCTATCGCTTTAAATTGCGTCAATTGCTGACATTGAATTGAAATCTGTACGTAATAGCAGATTCAACGTACAAAGAAAATCGCAACATAATAAAAGCATAATTATGTGTCATCCAACGCTTTATTATGAAGTAGTATGAAGTATATATGAAATATTCTTTTATAATAAAAATATTAAAACAGAGAAACATTTAATTTGATAAGTTAATATCTCGTCAAATTTTTATTCTTCTATATAATATATTGTTTATTCATTTATTTACTATAATAATGAAATAAAAAAAAAAACAATGTAGAAGTTTCGATAAAATATTAACTCATGCATCAAATTAAATATATTTCTTTTCTAATTATTTAATTACAAAATATTTAACAATTTCATACATAAGAGAGAGGGGGAGGAAGAGAGAATGTGTCTGATTACATAAAATCACGCTTTTGCGTGTTGATCCAAGTTCACTATTAAGTACAGACCTCAATTTACAGTCAGTACTCGACGTAACTTGAAGCGTTACGGACGCTTCTTGTATTCTTGTGCGGAGATTCTTAGAAAAAAAGGCAAATAAAACTTATAAAATGTGGCTCATTCGCTATACATCCAGAATAAGGTCTCATGTCTTATGAACTACTCGATGACTACACACGCAAAAAACTCACTGTCGCCCCGTCTCCGAGTTATCTCAGCGTTATTTAACCATCGGTACGTTTCACGGTATCTTCATACAATTTCGTGTTCTGCGATGACTTATGGTTGTCCGTTTTCGATTTCTTCCCACGTCGCATGCGGAAGTAGCCCTTGCGAGGTTTACGGCTCGTCGGCAGCGTTGCGTCCGCGCCGACGTACAGCGCGCCCTCAATCACTTGCAATAGCGACGGCGGAATGGAAATGCAGCCCGCTAGACAGTTGACATGCTGCATCATCGATATGGGCAGCGGGGTATTGATGAATATTTGTTTCTGTTCCATATCGACGCCTCGTATTATTCCTGTATGTACACGCGAATATCAAGCATTGTAGGAACATTCTTTTTTTTTATATGTATAAAATACATTCTAAGAGATACAAAAGAATTGCATGCACATTGAATGCCAAGCGCGTCCTTCAGATTCCCTTCCCGAAAGTCGAGATAACATCACACGTGGCTTTATTAAGTAACAGCACACAAGTCAAGTAGATTTTGAAAGCGAACAGTCGCGCTTAACGCCCGAAATCGCGTCCGGAGTTCTCATATCGTGAATATGCGAAGGTATTCGCGCTTACCGAATCCGTAGCAGGTACATAAGGACGTTTTGTGCGTGAGCACTCGAACATCGTAGCTGTCGTCAGACTCCTGCGAAGGCTCCTCCGTCAAATCTACACCGCACAACGCTACTATATTACCGTTTATGACATTCAAGACGTGCGAGGGTGGTACGCCGACCGATCGTTGAGGAATGATGCACAGGGAAGAGAGGGGTGCCCTGCAAAAGATTACGTGAGTACATATGCGCGTGTGTGTATGTACATATACACATATATAAAAGAATGTTATTATTCCCCTAATTATTTCATATTAAGGCTCCTGGGGAGTCGCATCATCCATCTCTTTTTAATGACGTCAGAAGCGAGAAAATGCATGCTAAAAATTCCTGCAAAATACGTCGAGATAAACAGATATATCCACAAAACGACATTTGCGATCGATTAAGTACATCTCTAAAATACTCCGTACACTTTCCTTTTGTTCTAAAAATCAATAGATAATCGGAAAATTAATATGACAAGATAATGAGGAAATTAGGTTAGAAAAGACGATTGCACGTCACATTTATTTTATAATTATCTGTTGATTGTTAGAACAAAAGGAAAGTGTACGGAGTATTTTAGAGATGTACTTAATCGATCGCAAATGTCGTTTTGTGGATATATCTGTTTATCTCGACGTATTTTGCAGGAATTTTTAGCATGCGTTTTCTCGCTTCTGACGTCATTAAAAAGAGATGGATGATGCGACTCCCCAGGAGCCTTAATATGAAATTGGTAAAAAAAGTTTGATTCGATCTTCAAGACGTTAATGGACAGTAAACCCTTTGCAATAAACATACGAACACTTTATCAACGCCGAAGCGTTGATGAAGAATCGTAGACTCGCTTGATTAACGAGTCATTTATTACCACTAAACGCGATCAGACTTCACTCAAAGATTAAATCGAACATTTCCACTGACTTGATTATGGAATACTGACATGTACGGCACCACCTCGTTGATCTTGAGTGACTGATCTTCGTCGCATTGGCTGAAACAGCAAAGGGTGATAATTAAAAGTTGCGGTTTCTCGTCGTCGCGTTGTTTGTGAAGTCAAAAAGCTCACAAGGGATCATAGCTGTCGCGTGTGATATCGCTTAGATAAGAAATCATGACGAGCTCGCGCTGTTGATACGGCTCCATGTTCCACTTTTTTGGTACTCGTGCTTCTTTACTTTCCGCATTGGAATGCATCACAAACAGCTCATGATCGCACGGCTTGTACCAATCGGCCAACGGTATATTATGTAACGTCCACTTGCGGTCCTGTCGAAACCGTAACGTATTAAGGCTTCTGATTCTACTGCCGCAGAACCCTGGATTGATGATGTCAGAAATGAGGAAACACAGAAACGAAAAAAACGTTGGAATGTCTGGTGAAATATAAACTAACTAGAATTCTGTGGAAGTTAACAAGAATCTGGTTAGAACTTGTAACTGTTCAAATTGAAATTTTGCTTTTTGTTTAGATTGAAAGTTTTTGGTTTCGGCAAGAATTTTTATCATACGTTTTCTCGTCTCTGACATCATTGAATTAGGATTCTATTATCGAGAGAGTCACGGGAACAGGCGTATATACCTGTTTGTTCACAGTGTCTGCGTTCAGCCAATTTCTGTAATTGTTCCTATTCTTCGCCGACAAGATTTGTAGGATAACAGACGGCCTGATAAGCTTCACTGTGGAGATCAGGAGATACCAACCGACATATTGTGTAAATCCCATCGTGTTCACAACGATCGGCAAACGCGATAGCTCCGAGCAACTCTTCAATTTAGTAATCAGCATCTTTATAGCTTCCAAATAGCGTGTGGCGCATTGCATAACGTCGATCTCGCCGATGAAAAGTTGGTAAACTGGTGTTTGCAGGTGCGTGAAGTTCGGCCCTAGCAGCGGCTGCTCGATCAAGCTGTAAGAGACGCAGCTGTACGGCGTGCACTCCGACTGACCGGGATCCACGTCTATCAAGACTACTTTCTCGCAGGTATGTAGCAACTTATTAATCAAGAAACGCACGCTGGTGGATTTGCCGACGTCCTTACCGCCGGCAATCAGTGCGCACGACCACTTGTTCGCGCGCCAGCGCGTCAACATCCCGTTGGCGATGTCGCTGATACGCGAGTCAATGAACAGCCCTCTGCGTCTCAAGTCATGGTACTTTACCTGCAGCTGTGCCTGTAGCACCATCTCAGCTCGACGATAATCCGTCCAAGGGTAGTAGCTGGAGTTCTTCACGTCTGGAAATAGTCTTAATGGATAATAGGTCTTCAGGAAGTGAGTGAGATTGTTCTCAATATTCCGCAACACCAGTACGGCCATTCCCGGCTTGACTTTGTCAATATTCTCGAACAACGTGGTCTCCGAGTCCCGAGTGATGCCGTCCGCGTTAAACTTCGTCCATATCTGGTCGATAGTATCATCAGGGACTTCTCCGCAGGTATTTATGATAACGTTGCTGTATCCTCTCGGTGAATACACCTCCACGGGATCCTTGGACGCGTTCAGTATAGCACCATAAACCTCCACGGCGCCGTACAGCACTTTCACCGACAGTTTGCCGGTGAAACCAAACGCGCTGTCCTTCTCCATGATAACGATCACAATGTTCCTGATGCTGTATAGCTGTGGCTGTTTGACCTTGTGCGCCCTGACATTTTTGGGATCCTGAAGACTGGCCTCTTTTAAACCACTGTTGCTGATAGCTTCACTGTCTTCGGCCTCGCTGTTGGGATCATTCTCGTGGCAAAGCTCCCCGGTATCTTCGAGCTGAAGACTTTTGTACGCTACTGCATCGTTGTTGCTATTTGTGGATCTATCAGAACTCTCGACAGATTCCCTACGCGCAACGTTAACACCGCCGACTTTATTAACAGCGACATTTCCTAGTTCATTATTACTGATAGCTCCGTTATCTTCAGTCTCGTTAGTCTCATTCGCATCCCACGGCATAGGCAATGCCGACTCCTTGTGTTCGGCTAACGAACGGGCGTTGTCGGGATTCACGCATTCGGAATCTATGATGCGTGCATTGTTCTCTTTAGACCATGTTTCTCGCGCGAAGACATTCCTATCATATGTATCAATCTCAGACTGTGCCTTGGATCGCTGTTCAAATATCTTTGGCACACTCAACGCAGTGCAGTCATCCAATGGCATTTTGACCACAATCGGTGAATCTAAATTTCTTTGTTCCGTAGAAGAGACCTGTGCCAAATCGTCATCTTTTCTCCCTTTCAACTCTTCATTTGAGAAATCTATTTTCCAGTTATCATTTCCTTTCTCCTTTATCTGTTGCTCAGAGTCATCCCAATTTGTGATATCATCTGTAAAACCTGATAACAAACAACAATTTTAATAACAAATAGAAAAATATTACTTAGCTGTAAAAAGATATAGATAGGATATTCTTACATGGGATGGGATATTCTAGTCTGAAGATTTAAAGTGCACATTGTGAAAAAGAATCTATAAAATGATGTAAGAAAATAGAGGAACTCTAATTTATTACATTTGTTAGCAGCCCCTTGGTTGCATTGTTTCTTTCTGCACTTAGGACTCAATTGTCTGCTTGTCTTCTCTGTAAAAGGACGAATAGTCTCATCTGGAGGAATATTCTTTCCTAAAGGAATACTCTGTGCAGTTGTGTTCTCATCATCAACAATGTTTAGCATAGCAATTTGAGAAGTAAACATCTTTTTATACTTGCGACCAATGTGCCTTTTTAGTTTATGTACTGATAATCTGTTGAAATATTAAACAAAACAACAATAAATAATAAGCAACAATATTTTAAAAAATTATTACATATATATATTGTGTCAACAAACCATATCCAAATATTAATTCAAATAAATGTCCATAGTTTTAACTTACTTACATTTTAAGTCTCCCTTTTAATTTAATTCCCCTTGCTTTTAATCCTTTGGTATGTTTAAATATCCTCATTAAGTCAATATCTACTTGTGCTTAAAAATTTATACGTGTACCAAGATTTCATAACCTTACAAAGATATTTTCACCAGAAAGATTTCTAAAGAATTATATAGATACCCTCACACAGAGTTGTTTCAATAGTTACATATTATCTTAATAAATATATATCCGATACAGAAATTGTGTTTTGTTGCCGACAAAAAGATTCTAACTCTAAAAAATTGATACTGAAAAGAAAAATATGGAAAACTATGGTAAGTTTATTTCCGCTTAGAAACGTTTGAAGCGTCAAGTGGATCGTGTTCACAATCTTCGCTCACTTTCTTTTTGGGTGCAATCCATTATACACTGCAAACGCTTTGAAGCGTTTAAAAAGAAGCCATGATTGGTCTATACTGCACTTCAAAGCATTTTTAGCGTCTAGTGAATCGCGTGAATCTAGTGAATAGTCTCACTCACTGTTGAGCCGTATTACTTCAATAATAAAGTATGTCCGACCTACCGTTGAGTAGTATTACGATTTGGATTCTACAAAATTCTTGAAAAAACGGTGGCGGCTTGTAGCCTCGAACCTTGAAACTGCTCTTGCAAGAATAACGGGTTTAAATCAAGTGTGCGTAGTTTATAAGACTCGTTATTTTTGTAAATTAGTTCCAAAGTTTCCGCTACAAGCCGCCATTTTCTTCGCTAAACAATTAAGCCGGGATTCGAACCGAGATATTTTAAGCCTCCGCTAAATTATTAAGCCGAGATTCGAATCGACGTGTTGGGAGCCTCCGTTATTGTACTATATGTATTGGCTGCGTTCAGCAGAGAAAGCTGCTTTGCAACTGTTGTAAAATTCGTGAATCTAATTGGAGCATGCTCTTAATTTTGGTTGAATCCAAGAGCATATACCAATCAGATTCACGAATTTTGCAACAGTTGCAAAGCAGCTTTCTCTGCTGAACGCAGCCATTGAAATCATGATACAATTTCAACAAATAATACATAAGGGGAGGTTCTCATCGGAGTCGACCAAAAAATCGATTTTTTTTTTTTGCATTTTTTTGTAACTAATCATATGTAGAATATATTCCCAAAGCGGTTTGTACGAAAATTAATTTTTTTTTAAGTTATAGCGAAAAAGTGGAACCACCTTTTTACGCGAAAATGGAGTTCACGCGCTACCGCGTGTTTTCCGTAATATTTTTGAATTTCCCTCCTTTACGACCATAGCATGGGTGATCATAGTAAGTATAGTTACCTTGAGTACCACCAGATGTCGAAATATATGCTATGATTTTATAGTTGTGCTTCTATATATACTAATATCAACGGTTACAGCGTGTAGCGTTAGTTGACAACGTGCTCCGATTACAAGTAGTTTTATTACGTTTTTTGTGTGTAAACATGCCGAATGTAAATAAAAAAGGTTGTAGAGGAGGTAATCCATCAAGAAACCGGAAAAGAAAGTTTGAAGGTAATCAGTTCACTGCAGAGTGTGAAACGGAGTTTGTTAGCACGTCGGCGAAGAAATTGAACGATGCAAATTACGACGAAGTTATCATTGACATGAAGGCCAACTACGTTATTTTGCACTTTTTAAATGTTTTCTCATTTATAAGCACATTCGTGAAGTGTACAAATTGTGGCAGTGATATAAAATTTTTAAAAACTAACGGTGCTGGTGTTGCTTTTAAGTTAGTTGCCCAGTGCTCTTGCTCAAATCGTTCGTGCGATTCCAGTCAAACTATAAACCGTTTTTCTGAAATTAACCGTCGCCTAATATTTGCCGTACGAATGCTAGGAGGAGGCCTTCAAAGTCTGAAAATGTTCTGTGGGATTTTAGATATAACGTTTTCGTTTAGTAATAATATTTACTATACTTTCCTCGACAATTTGCACGCGGCATCGAAAACTCTTTTCGAAAACTTCCAAAAGAAAGCTGTTAAAGAAGAGATTAGTGAAAATACAGCAGCTGAAAAAGAGCCTTTGAATTTAACTGTTTCAGGAGACGGTTCGTGGAAGAAAAGAGGTTTTTCATCACTGTTTGGTCTTGCTACATTGATAGGAAAGTACACAAATAAAGTTTTAGATGTTATTGTTAAATCCTCTTTTTATCAAAGTTGTGCCAATTGGAAATCAAAAAAAGGTACGATTGAATATAATTTGTGGAAGGAAAGTCACGAAGAAGTGTGTTCTGCTAATTACCAAGGAAGTTCTGGCAAAAGGGAGGTTGATGCAATGAAGGAAATGTTTGCCCGCTCAAAAGAGTTGCTTGGCGTGCAATATGAATTTTATATTGGCGATGGCGATACGAAAACATTCAAGGCTCTTCAAGATTTGAATCCTTACGATGACATTACGGTGAAAAAAAAGAATGTGTTGGACACGTGCAAAAGAAAATGGGAACTCGGCTTCGTGGTGTGAAGAAGATCACAAAGGGCCTTTGCGGGAAAGGTGCCGGAAAATTAACCGACAAAGTTATTGCAGATTTGACTATTTATTACGGTTTGGCAATTAGGAGACATCCCAATTCTGCAAAGAATGCTGAAGAATGCTGTGTGGGCCGTATATTATCATAACGTTTCAAGTGATGAAAATCCGCAGCACATGTACTGCCCTGAAGGCAAAGATAGTTGGTACAAGTGGCGTGTCGCCGAGGCCTACGGCACTTTGAAATCATTCAGACACAAGCCTCCTTTAATAGACAAAGTGATGCTATTAAACCCGTTTTTGAAGCTTTATCTTCAGACGATTTAATGGAACGGTGTACCGGCGGTAACACACAAAATTCAAATGAGTCCGTCAACGCCTGCGTGTGGAAACTAGCACCCAAACATTTGCACAGTGCTGCCAAGACCATTGAAATTGCCACTTACATTGGAGTGTCTCTTTTTAATGAAGAGTACGTAATCATTTTAAAAATAATGGAATTATTGGGAATCGCCATTGGTCTTCAAGCTCGGAACTTTGTCCAGATAACTGATGACAAGCGGATTGCAGCAGCTGAAAAAAGTATGTCAGACGGCGCAAGAGCAGCTGCATCAGCGAAAAAATCCGAAAAAACTTTCCAAATGGAGCAGTATGAAGTCGAGGAAGGATTGTTGTACGGGCCTGGAATTGCTGATTAGCCAAAAGGTACATTTTTTACATTTAATCAAAAAATTCGTGTACTGAAACTTTAGACGCGTTTTTCTCGAAACCATGTTTTTCAAACTGGGCGGTAGGATATCTCAAAAAGTACTGAACATATCATAATGTTTTTTTTTATTTCAAAGTAAATTAAATTTATTGGAGGATAAACCTAAAAAATGATGATATTTGTTATTATTTTTTTATTTACATCACTTTGAAGGGCGTAAAAAAACGCGAAAATACGACACTAAAATTTTCATGTCCGCCATTTTTCCAATTTTTTATTTTTTGTTGGTTTTATTGGTTCAACCTCCAACAAATGTAATATATTTCATAAAAATTTTTGGATTTCTGATTTCAGATAACCAGTGCTACAGTGCCGCCCACTTGGATACTTTTTTTTGAGGTGGCCATATATCAGTATAAATAAACAATTATTATTATATTTTTTACGAAAAAAAATTTTTTTACATACTTTAAGACCTACTAAATGAGTATAAAAAAATTGACTTCTTTATTTACATCCTTCCATGAAAAAAAAATTCGAGAAAATCGTACGATTTTTGGGTCGCTAGATGAGAACCTCCCCATAAGCACACATACGTTTTAAATGCGCGCACTTTTACATAGTATGTGATGTCGTTATATTTCATCGCTATGACAGGTTTCATAATTTTAACGATTAATATCTCGCTTTGCGGGACAGAACAACGATTTTAACTTTCATATTTAGTTTCTATACGTGAAAATATACAGTATGAGTTGAGTTTCAGCCAAATCGGAGATGAAGACTCTAAGCTATATAATTACAACGGTAGAATACTAGCTTGATAAAAACTTTTTTCATAAATTAGGAACAAATTCCAGAAACTATCTTTGATAAACAGACAAGAGAAAGAAAGTAGGCTTTCGAAAATTGCCTTAAAATTAAGTAATTTCCGAACACAGTCTTACACTATTACTATTACAAGAACTCTTATACAAACATTTTAAAACAACTCAGTACAAGATATCGGAAATTAAAGTTGTTACCATGCATTAATATCTTTTAAAATTATAAATTCCTATATATTTTTATACTCGAAAATTCTAAAATATGGAATCATACTTCAATCTATGGGTGCCCATATTAAAAGCTAAACCAACATTTTATGGAATCAGATAAAAGGTATACTTATTTTAAATAATAATCAACTCATAAGCATATATAAGCATATTATATTACTCATTTAGTACTTAATCTTCGACATATATAATGCACAATATTCTTGATTTACAGTCTTGACTCCTCGTGTTATAAATAAATTTCAATCATCTAATCCGCTCTCAGCGGGTGAGCAAGTACATATTTACATACCGTATCTCTTTTAAATTTAGTTCATGTAAAAAGAGAATGATTATATACATGTACACAAACGTAAGGTTCGATTAAACGAGGAAATCGAAAGTTGCCATTACAAATGAGACTCTGCGTACGAAATCGAATATAAATAACATATTGACTATCTTAATGCAATACTATGACAATTTGACACAAACATTTCGACATCATTATCTCTTAGATTATACTTAGAGATACATTCAAACTGGGATATTTAAGACCTGAGTTAGTCCTCGCGTTATGTGTAGCGTAAATACGTAAGCGTAAATATAATAGCTATTATTGATATTATCGTGATAGTTCTCGGCGCGATAAGCATCCGTATTATCATACGAAGTATAGTGACATTTTCAGTACTGTCCTCGGCCTCTGCCTCTATTATAGCCGCCACGCTGATAGTTTGAGCCAGAATTGTTAGCATTCCAGCCGCCTTGAACTCTGCCGCCTCCTCCTCCTCCTCCTCCTCCTCCTCCTCCTCCT